ATGATCTCAAACTTGTAGGCAAGTGGAAAGTGAGACTTTTGGATGAGAGACATGTGTTGATTCAATTAACCCTAGCTGAAGACTTTACTCGAATTTTTTCTAATAAATATCTCAACATTGCAGGCAAGTCAATGAATTTACTCAAGTGAGCTCCTGATTTTGACCCAAATCATGAGGCTCTTACTGTTTTGATATGGATTAATTTACCTGGTCGATATGGATTAATTTACCTGGTCTCAAGTTGCATTTCTTTTGATATGGATTAATTTACCTGGTCTTAAGTTGCATTTCTTTAATCATCAGGTTCTTTATCCTATTGGAGCCATTCTTGGAGATCATATGAAGCTAAATATGCCAACTTTTAAACTAACCAGATCTTCTGTGGCCAGAATACTTGTGGAAAGAGATATTATCTTACATGATATTACTGAAGTATGGCTGGGCACAACTCACAATGGAAGTTGGTAAACATGGAACATAAACATTTTTATTGTACCAACTGTAAGATGTTTGGGCATATACTTGATAAATGTCACAGGCTTCATCCAAACTGGAAAGCTAAAGCTCAAGCAAACACAGAGGGGTCTAACCCCATTGCTATGGACACATCTGCTCAATCTGTGGAGGAAGTTCCCACAAGTCAGGATTTTCTTACGGATCCCCCCTTGCCAACACTGTGGTTTCTGATGAAGAACATCATACTACAGGTACAGATTCAAATGTGTTTATATCACTCACTGTTTTTGAAGAAAACCCACTTACATGCCAGGACACACGAGAATGCTTCCGCTCCCCCCATCTTATTAAAGAACAGCTTGTACAACAAATAGTTGCTTCTAATGTACAACAACCTACACATGCTCGACACACTTTAGACCAATCCACTAACCAGACGAGTCAATCTTCGGATAAGGAATGACAAGTCTATTCCAGGAGGAAGAAGAGGAATGGAGGCAGACTCGAGCTCGAGAATTTATTGGATGATACATTGGTTACTACTGACAATGACACTCATCTCACCAATTTATTAGCTGGCTCCTTCCCTAGAACTAGAGACAGAGGCAAGACAAAATTGAGTCGCTCTTTAGTTACCTGATAATCCAGATTTTGACACTTTTTGTTTTTTTTTCTTTAGGTCTCTCATGTATTTTTTTCGTATTTTCTCGGAACCATTTGCATATGGTGGTATCGAGTGGGGCAGGGTGCCATGTTTGGGCCTCCTACACAATCTATCTGTATCCTACTTTATTTTTAATTATATATATATGTGTGTGTGTGTGTGTGTGTTGTGTGTGTGTGTGTGTTTTGATCCTCTGCCCTTCGGCTAGTTCAAGGAGACGGGGAAAGAGCGCGGAAGGAATCAACAACTTTAGGAGGCGAGCGAGGCGAGGTGAAATCTCAACCATTCGACCTCAGATTTATAGGCTTTTTGAGGCGGTGAGATTGAACAATTTGGGAAGGAGACAAGTAGGCGGGAGAAAAAGGAATCTGTGAGGTTCGGGGAGGTGGTCCTAGAGAAGATCGCATGATTTGTGCGATCGCGGCTTAGTAGAAGGAAAGAAATTAAGGAAATGTGATTGATGTACTCCTGTAATTCGGAAAAGGCTATGCACATTTGCAAGTGGGAAGAAAAGGAAGGTTTGATTTAGTGGCTCGATAGCAAAAATGTAATGGAATTTTTCGGTACTTACATTTTATCCCTTTTACTTTCTAACCCTTCTTTTGCTTTTAGTTTTTGTACGGGCTTTAATTAGCTTTGTTAATTAAGAAGAGTAGAATGAAATTTTAGGCTGTTTTTGCATATGGTGGAAGCCTGCGACACATTTTTTTTTTTTTTTTTTCAGGGTCCTTCCATTCTACTGTGTATTTTGCGGGATTCATTGTTTTACTTGAATTTTGATTGATGTTGGCTGGCTCATTTGATGGATGAATTTTGTCTCTGAAGGTTGCTTTATCAAATACATTATGCCAACTGATTGTCCTTTGTGCTGGAGACTTGGTTGAAGATGTATCACCTGATGAGCATGTTTTCAAGGATGATGGATTCGTTGAAATGGGTCGATCAGGCCCTTATTTTGGTTCTTCTACTGGTTTACATTGTATACTTCTCAATACTTCTATATTTCTCAATAGGTAAGCAACTGAATGAACTTATGTAGTTTACTATACTCATGATATAAGGTCATATGGCAATTGGATTCGCTCTAGTTTTCTGAATGGTAAATATTCATAGCTATAATATCAGAAGTGCAATAGTTTAAGTAAATACGTAATTTTTTCTTTCTGTAACTGTAATGATAAAGAGAACTGTCAGTGATAAAATAAGGTAAATATTCATACCTATAATGATAAAGAGAACTGTCTTTTCTAAAGGCCATTTCTTGATAAAACTCTAAACAAAGATTTACTTTAGAATAGTGAACATTTTAGCGATCTGCATGCTGCAGCAATTCTTTTTTGATAAAGTCCTTGATGTTATTCGTTATTTTTTTATTTTTGCCTCCTTTATGCAGGTTAGCCTTTTGATATTTTTTTATTTTCCCCTGCCTAATTTAATTTCTTCACACTAATTTCATTATTTTGATCTGTGTATATAGAACTTGTCAGAGATTTAAATGAGCCAAACTGTGCTTTTTATTTCTTTGCTTGACTAATCTAAAATCTTCCTCATTATCAGCTTGTTTCTTTTTTTTATTATTCTCCTCAGAGTACGATTTGGAGCAAAGCTCTAAGTTATCATTTATTTAATAATCACATGGCCAAGCAGTCGGCATTAAAAATAGAATTTCTATTTTCTTTCGGACTCAACACTTTCTATCGATGCTAGGTATTTTGAAGTTTTTTTTTGCTTCAATTGGAGAAATCTGTCAAATTGATCCTTGGACTATTTGTATAGGGCCATTTTGGTCTATTGGCTTATGAAATATGATGTAAAATAGGCTCCTGTTAGCTTATCTTTAATTAAATTTGAGAACTTAATCAATAGACTATTTTGGAGTCATTGGATAGTCTTGTGAGCCTTCCTTGATATTCAAATCCATGCATGAGGCACTCGCACCTCTATCAATGCCTTCAATTCCTCTTTACCGCACCGCTACACACACAAAAGGTTTGCTCACGTTCACGATCGGAGTAGGCATCAACCGCGCTTCGCTCTCTTCTTCTCGATATTGTCTTTGCTTTGATTCTTCAGTTATCTTCCTCAATTTCCTTTCGGCTCTTCTTAAAAAGGTCGGGAGAGCCCTGTGTATCAAATATGACTCTTTCAGATCAATATGACTCCTGATCTAATGGGGTGCCAACGGGAGAAAAAATATTGGGTGTTATAGTCTGCATGATGTAGTTTCTTGATCACATCTGAGAAAGCTAAGTATATCTTTTTCTTTTGTGTGTTTGTGTGTGTTTTTTAGTTGAGAGAGAGAGAGAGAGAGAGCAATATGAATACTGCTGCATCATTTCTTTAGCCTGTCTTGGCATAGTTGTTTTCTATATAATTCTGCTTAACCTTAGCAAGTTAAGGTTTGTCTTCTAGGGTGCAATCCTTTCGCTTACATGTAAATTATCATTGTCGCAGAAAGAGTGAGCTCCATCAAATTGCCCAGCAAGCTTCAAATATTGATCATTTAATAGACGTTATTCGAGAGTCCCTATCGATGATGTCTAAGCAATGGTCTAGTGCAATGAATTCATTTAATGAGAAGTTTAGCATTCTCTCTTCTTTGATCGTCAGCCATGGTAGTTACTTTTACTTTTCCTAAATGACTTTTCTCATGCTGGAGTATGTGCATAGCAGCTTGGTTTTCATGCTCTGCTTCAGCATTATTATTTCCTTTTCATGTGTTTGCTCTTATATAGGTGGTCTAGATGGGAATCCTCAAGATGAATTTTTAAGCCTTCTATTTGGAGCTCGAACAAGTCCTCCACTTCATCAATTCCTTGTGAATTCACTTGGCGAAGCGGTACTGTCAAACTCGAGCATGTTCTCTTGTTGCTACTTTTAGCATTGACTTAGATAGGTTCTTATAGGGTTTAAAACGTATGTCTAAAGCTGTCTATGGAGCTGGGAAGGAGCTTCATGTCATCATTCACGAGCATCTTCATGTACACATCTTGTCTCATTTTTATTTTCATGTCTTGGAAGCTGTACTGTATTATTTCTTGTCTAGCGTCCTATCTGAAATCCCATGGGGATATTGATTTACTCAGTATCTGAAGAAACTTGAAAGCAATCTATCATGCAAAGTTTATACATATTAGGAAAGCATTCTTTTTTGTTTGTAGAGGGTTTTTTTTAATGTGGGTTATTTTTTTATTTTATGATTTAAAACTGGCAAGCTAAGTTTGGATAGAAAGGATAGAAGCCATATACATTTATCTCACCTTTTATGATATATTTTTTTTCTTAAAGAGTAAAAGAGGAATTGAACACCCCTAGAAGCCATATACATTTATCTCACCTTTTATGATATATTTTTTTCTTAAAGAGTAAAAGAGGAATTGTTCACACCTTGACTTTGTGTGGTTTAAAATTTTGGTCCTCCACACACTTTCTAATGAGTTAACTCGCTTCATCCGTAGCTCATGTTCCTGTTCTGCCTAGTTTGGCTTTATTATGCATGTTATGCCACACACACCTTACTCTGTGAACCACAAGCCCTCACATACTAGCCTACTGCATGCTCTGACTGCTTGCAATGTCTCCTTATGATACTAGAGTCAACCCAATCCACTACTTAGACGCGACAAATTTTATTGTTGAATGTAAAAAAATAAGTACACTGACGACTCCTTACAACAATAACGCATAAACAATAAAGGATATAACACATAAACTACAAAAGAAATAACACAAAAGGGGTAAACGAAATAACAAATGCAGAATAAGGCTAAGCATAAGCCATAAATATTTATGAATGGTGATGAATCCGACACGACGATGAGAAGTAATAGCTGAAGACCCACCGGAAGGGGCTAGGGAGACCCGACGACTGCTAGGAGTGGGAGGGTAGCGGTGGACTAGTGGCTCGGAGGACCTGAAAAGTGGAACGCCCTGCCGAAGAAGGTTGAATGGGGGGAACCGACAGGTGGGGAGGTGTGATTTAGTGGCGTGGTGGTCGCAGGGAGGACTTAGAAGGGTTGGCAGTCCACTGATGGGAGCTGAAAGGCTCGACAGTGGCTGACGAGAGCGGTACGATGGTTGCTGTGGGAAACCAGCTAGACCAACAGCTGGTGGGAGGAGAATGTTCACGTTAAAAAATTTATTAACAAATTAATATTATTAAATATATTAAATTAAATTTAATAAATATTAACTCACTCATTCCCACTCTCATCCCATTAACTATTTGCGCTTCTGTTCGAAGCAAATGAGCCTCTCTCGTAACTTATTCCTTCATTCCCGCTATCTTGGTGGTTCTCTTTTCGTTCTATTTACTAGAAACGACACGAAATCCCTTTGCCCTTGCAAAGAAAAAGATCGCAATCTCGCCTGCATCTCCCTCATACAATTCGCATCTTCACAGAAGCCTTGTCGCTCTTCAGTGCAAAGAAAAAGATCGCAATCTCGCCTCCTCATAAAATTCGCATCTTCACAGAAGCCTTGTCGCTCTTCAGTACGCCCAAATTTGCATTATTCCTTAACTTTTGTCTTTTTTTTTTTTGTTGTCAACAGACTCTTCCCTGACCTCACCACCTACCTAATTTCTCCGTCGCCTCCCAATGTGTATCATTCCCCTACACAAAAAGTCGCATGGGATCTCTGCGTTGCGATCCCCTGCCTTTTTGAGTTCGAAATCCACACAATAGTGTCGAAGCATTGCATCACGTGCTGAAATACTCTGTACCACACCGCCATTCCTCTTTAATTCTACACTAGCTTGCGCCTCCCTACACAGTGTCGTGAACATCAATTCTCCCTGTCGTGTTTTCCTCTGTGTGACTTTTTACACTCATCGCCTGTTCACCCAAATAAAACGCCCGATTCCCCTCTGCCCAAGCCTCGATTCCTTCCTCCCCTCAATTCCCTGCACCATGAAACTTCTGGCCGAGCATCGTAGTTCCCTCTACAGTTGTGCCCTATTTCTCGTCTCCCTGTGTGGAAGGTCTCCCCTCTGACGCTATTCCTTAGCAAAAGCTCTACTCCGACCATGTCCTCACTTCGAAGCCGCACAAGTTCTCGTAGCCTTC